AACACCAAGACACGTGGCTGCCTCCACAGGGTGGACCGTAGATGGACAAAAAAGTGGAACCCTTGACACCACGCCCCCCCCTCCCCCCAATTTCAAAGCTGGCCTCAGGCATGTGGCAGCACAGGCGTGAGAGGACAAAACAAGTGGACCCCCCAGGGCCTCCGAGAGGCCGAACCCAACTCTGAAATTGGGGGGAGGGGGGGGGGACGAGTGCGGGGCCGAAGACGAATGGGGTTCCGTTTTTGTGCCCCCTTGCCCGAAGACTGGGGACAAACAACGAGGCAAGGATTACGTTCTCACCATCCGGCTTAAGAGCCGCATCCCAGAAAGAAGTTCGAGCACCCAGCACAGGATCGAAACAGTGCCGAACGAGCGTCGCCTCCCGGGGTCCGACGCGCGAAGGCCCTCGAGTTTTTCGGTACTTTCTCGACGCCCGTAGCTCTTGCGGGTGATTCGGCCTAAAGCAGGCTGGAACACCATAAGACAAGGGCCCAACCCTATGCAGCTCATTCTAGCGCAAGAGTTGGCCCTCTCTTCATGTGCCGCGCACCGCGGGAACGCTGGCTGTGGGTCAACTTCCCTGCGGGGCACGATCCGCGTGATGGGGTGTGCTGGAATGGGCGGGGGGACGCTGTGGTGCGCCGAAATAGGCGGGGGGACGCTGTGCGAGTTCCCCCACTGAGATCACACGTCGAACGCCTTGTGGGGCACGATCTGCGTCATGGGTGTACAGAAATGGGCGGAGGGACGCGATGCGAGTTCAAGTGTAGCTCCGTATATGGCACGATGCGCGGGATGGGTGTGCCGAGTTGGACGAAGGAAAGAGGTGGACCAGGAAGCGGGAAAGGAAGAAGAAGGAGGAGGAGGAGGGGGAGGGGGAGGGGGAGGAGGAGGAGGAGGAGGAGGAGGAGGAGGAGGAGGAGGAGGAGGAGGAGGAGGAGGAGGAGGAGAAGGAGGAGGAGGAGGAGAAGGAGGAGCAGGAGGAGGAGGAGGAGGAAGAGGAGGAGGAGGGCAAGGAGGAAGGAGGAGACGCGCGGCGCGGCGGATTCAATACGAGGACGCAACTCCACGGGAGGGTTGGGGCGATGTCGCGCTTGGATCTTTTATTGCTTTCGACTGATTTCGACCCTTGGGGGCCCGATTCGGGTCGGGCATCTGGGACCTTCAGAATCCTGACCCGGGACGAAAACCCAGCTAGTATTAGGTTGGGCATGTCCCCCCATACAGGCGGATGTTGGACGAAAAATAAAACATAGTGAAAACATGTTCCGAAATGATCAAAAACAGTCAAAACATCGTCCCCAGACTATTTTAACTATTTTTGCATATTCCTCCTGTAGAGGGACAGGCCCGACTTAAAGCTTATATTGACTCCTGGAGGGCTCCAGGGATCAGTTTTGAACACACTTTGTGCGGGACGATTGAAGTTCGCGGGCAGGCATGGGGGTCGACAATTTGGTTCTTTTTTCCCACGTGTTCAGCCCCTGGGATCCTCCAGAGGCCTCGGGGAACCTCCAGAGGCCTCGGGGGATTCCACAGCCCTCCTTCTTCCCCCACGCCGGAGGAGGAATGGGAAGGGGAGGAATGGGCGGGGAATTTCTGGGGGTGCGCCCCATGCTCGGAGGAGTGCTGCTTGGGGAGCTCGGACGGCGCTCAGGAGCTCGGCCTGCGCCCCCTGCAGGAGGCATGCCCGCAAAACTGCATGCCAGGCGGCTGGGCCCGAGTGACATTGAGGCGGGTGGGTGTTCTTGCGAGGAAAAGACGGAGGATGGGCAGAGGGTTTTTTTTTGGTCTGCGGGGAACGGTTTTTGCAGGAAAAACGTAGGAATCGCACATCTGTGGGATATCAATGGTCCTGTCGCAGATGTGCGATTCTACAGGAATGGTCTGGGTGTTCTTGCGAGGAAAAGACGGAGGATGGGCAGAGGAAGGGGAACGGTTTTTGTTGGTCTGCGGGTCGAGAGCGAGCCTCTTCCGGTTAAGAGCTAGGCGGGCCGCGCAAAGCACCAATTGGGGAGACAGGGCGCGGGCGGGCGGGGCCTCAGGCGGCCGGAGGGTGCGGGGTGCAGGCGGTGCTGAAGAGCTTGCACAGGAAAAGGTACACCTTGGACAGGAGCCGGAGGTGAAGTCCCAGAGGGTGAGCGGTGTGGTGTTGCCGTCGACGGCGGACAGAGGACATGACTTTTTGGTCTGACACGGAGCCACCGCAAGCAGAAAGGCCACAGGGCGAAGCACATCGCGCCAGCGTCGCCAGGTCTCCCTCGGGCTCCTGCGACTCGTTGGCAGTAGACACGCCGCTGAGGTCGCGCCAGAGGGCCGAATTGGCCTGGGGTGCGACGAGATCCTGCGAGTCCGGCCCGGCCCACTCCGCGCTCACTCCCAGCCCACCCTCTGCCGACATACAGGGGGGGGGAGGAGCGGGGCTGCACGCCCCCTCGCCTCGGGGAGCTTCCGCGCGCGAGGACAGCGCAGGGCACCCGAGAAGCTGGCCTGGCCTTGGGGCGGCATCCTCGCAGCAAAAAAACCTCGGGGCGCCACCGGCGGGAGTCCCTGGCCGGGCCTGCCGCTCGGCGCGGCACGAGGCGACGCTCGGCCCCCCCCCCCCCCCCCGCGGCGAGCAGAACAATCGGCGGTGGACAAACCTCCCTTTAGTAAACCTCCCCTTAGTGAAAACGGCCTGGGACCGAGACCGACGGACCTGGACCCGCAGAAACGACGGCCGCGACGCCCTCTCGCGAACCGAAAACGGCCCATTCCTGAATCGACGTGTCAGGGTAGGAGGTCTGTCCACCCCCGAAACAAGAGGGGCCCCGCGCGGACGAGCGCGTGCTGCCTGGTCCTGCTGCGACGCCTGGCAGGTGCTTCTCACGAGCGAGCGGCTCGCCCTCGCGCGGAGGTCCCTTCCCCGCGCACGTGTGTCGGCTTCGTGCGCGTATCTTTCGCAGGATGGCGCAGGATGCTCCTCGATGGCCCTCGCCGAGGAACCACGCGCACGTCCCAGCGAGGCCAGGGCGGGACTCGGCCCACCGCAAACGGACCACGCGCGCGCGGCGACCACCCACCACTCGACGAGGTCGCGCGATCGGAGCGCGCGGCCTGAGAGGTCCGAGGCCGCCCCAGATCGCGCAGATGGCTCTTCCCAGCGTCTCGGGCTGGGCGCCTTCCGGGGCGAGAGCATGAGTTCGAGCAGCCAAGGGCGCGCTGAACTGGGCCACATTGTTGATAGCCTTCCAGGGAGACTTGCGGGCGCTGGCCAAGCCATCGTGCGCACTGTGAGGTTGATCGTCAATTTCCACATCGTCATCAGCCTCTGCGTTACGGAACCTTTGCCAAGCCGCGATCACACCATCGGCGACCTCCTGTGCAGAAGTGCGACCCTTACCTTGTTACGCTCGCAGCGGCTGCACACCCATCCAGATTCCAAGTCCACACTCCGCTCCAAAATCAGGCCCCGCCCCGTATTCGCGCATCTCTTGTTTCAGTGAGATCAGCGTTCCTATGCGTGCTTGTGTACACCTTTTCCCTCAGGAGGTGCGAGTTACTGCTGGGGCGCTGGTGAGGGTCTGCGCCGCCATCCGCGCCCTCTTCATGGAACGGCTTCGGGTTGTCTAAAAACCTGACCAACCTCCCGGCTCTTGCACTGCCTCGACCGCCCCCCTGCCGTCACTGTCGCCGTCGTTGGTGGGGGAGGAGGAGGAGGAGGAGGTGGAGGAGGAGGAGGAGGAGGAAGCTCGGCTGCCCCGGCCGACCGCAGCAGGCCTCGAGCGAGCAGGTCTCCCCAGGGGGTCGGTGGGGCGCGCGTTGCGATCCGCGTACTTGTCCTTGGGAGGCGCCGGGGAGGTGGCCGAATCATGTGTCGACCAGCCCACTGAACGTCCAGCGCCAACAGGAGCCAGTACGATTACGTGTGCCTGCTTTCCGAGGTACGCCCGAAGGTCCTCATCCAGCACTTGTCCCTGGAGGCGCCGGGGAGGTGGCCGAATCATGTGTCGACCAGCCCACTGAACGTCCAGCGCCAACAAGAGCCAGTACGATTACGTGTGCCTGCTTTCCGAGGTACGCCCGGAGGTCCTCTTCCAGCTCCGGCACCTTGGTGCAAATGCTCGTCTCTGCCTTCTGCGTTGCCCCGAGCTGCTCCTGGTAGTAGGCCGACCTACCGTGGTGCGAAGGCAGACGCGTCGTCCAAGGCGTGGCCCCATCGGGCTCCTCTTTCGAAGCTGGGACTTGGGCCTTTGCCGCCACCTCGAGCGGATGCTCATCCAGGAAACCCGCCATGTTGATCTGCCCAACGGCTTTGGCGAGATGCCCCTGCTTCTGCTCAGAATCCAGCTCCCCAGCTCTTCTACCTTTAGCGTTCCCCAAGCCTCTCCCAGCACCAGGCGCGCCAGAGGTGCAGTTCGAGTCTGAACTCATCATGCTGCTTACCTGGTGTCGTCAACTGCGGGTTCGGGAGTGGACGGGCACCACGTCGGCCTCCCTTTCTTGCACCATGCCCGCTGCCAAGCGCCCTTGGCCTGATTTGCATCATCCACTCAAGGTCGAGGAAGCCCAAGAACGGTGTCACGACCAGGCTGATCACGAATCCGTTTCCTGCCCTGAAGCAATGGCTCCACTTGACCAGATTGTACGGGAAGCCACACGGAGCCTTACCATATCACGTCTTGTAGCTACTGTGCGGCTGACACTTGTTATCGCGAGACCGTGAAGATGCCACGCGTCGCGAAGGGAAAGAAATTGAAGAACGCAGACTACGGTCGGAGTCACGAGCTCATGGCCAGAGTCAACCGAAAGGCTGCAAAATGCCACCCCGCCACTTGAGCCCGCGCTGTGAGGTCAGAGGTAGGTCCTTCGAGCCAGAATGTCGACGGAAGAAGAGGAAGGATAACGGAGGAGGCAGGATGCAGGAGGAACAGGGAGCGTGGGAAGAAGCATGAGCAAGGAGGCGGATAATAAGCAGAGATTAATTGAGGGATGAGGGAAAAGATAGGACGGATGAGGATGAAGTGGGAGGGATGAACAACCAAATGTGGGGAAACTCATCATAGGGAGTAAGAGGAGGAGGGGGAAGAGGAGGACGAGGAGGATGAGCAGGAGGAGGAAGAGGAGGAGGAGGAGGAACTGGCCTTGCCCTGCGTCGGCCTGGCGAATGCCACCACGCCGCCGCCGGCCACCTGCAACACATAGAAGCGCGCCCGGCTCTGCACGGGCCTTCGGCTGGAGCAGGACAAGAGAGAAAGAGGAGTGGGCGGCGGGGAGAAGCAGGACCCCCTCAGGCCCTCTCCATATGTACCCTCTCCTCCTCCTCCTCCTCCTCCTCCTCCTCCTCCTCCTCCTCCTCCTCCTCCTCCTCCTCTCAGGGGCCTCTCCAGAACCTCTCAGGAGCTCCCCAGTTGCCTCTCAAGATCCTCTCACGACTTTCTCGGGAGCACCTCAAAAGCCTCTCATGGCCCGCTCGGGCGCCTCTCCGGACCCGCGCAGGAATTGCTCGGACCCTCTTCGGAAGCCCCTTGGGGGTTTCTCGGATGCCTCTCGGGACCCTCAGCAGCCTCTGGTCGAACTCGGCCAGGTCGAACTCGGCCAGGTCCAACTCGGCCCTTCGACTGGCCGAATTTGACCTGGCCGAGTTCGATCCGGCCGAATTCGACCCCGGCCGAATGCACCGGCTGAGTTGGACCCAGCCGAGTTCGACCGGGCCGAGTTCGACCAGGCCGAGTTCGACCGGCCGAGTTGGAACTCGACCCTCGCTGCCGCCGGACCACGCCATCCGACGTCGCGAGTTCCTCAAGACGGCTTCCCTGGAGGGGGGCCGGCTCTTCCTCCCGAGCCGTTTTTCTTGACGGTCCTGGGGCCCGCCGAGGCCCCCCAGAAGCCGCAAAATAATTTCGAGAGTTTCGAAATTTCCGTCTCGAGCTGAGATGAAAAAACCTCAGACTCGAATTTCTAGAATTTCATCAAATGAAGCCGAAATGAATCCGAGATGAAAAGAAAATTCTAGAATGAAAACGAGATGAAGCCGAAAGGAGAAGCCTCACCCTCGAATTTCTCGAGACGTTGGGTTCGACCCCGGCCGAGCTCGACCCCGGCCGGTGTCGGACTGGCGATCTGCGAAACTGTCGCCACTTTCGAGGACTGCTGGTGGGTCTGAGCAAGACCTCGCCGTGCCTGGGGGCTGCGATCTGCGAAACTGTCGCCACTTTCGAGAGCAGCTGGTGGGTCCAACGGACTGAGGCACCGCGGGGATCTGAGCGAGACCTCGCCGTGCCTGGGGGGCTGCGATCTGCGACGCTGTCGCCACTTTCGAGGGCTGCTGGTGGGTCCAGCGGACTGAGGCACCGCGGGGATCTGAGCGAGACCTCGCCGTGCCTGGGGGACTGCGATCTGCGAAACTGTCGCCACTATCGAGGACTGCTTGTGGGTCCAGCGGACTGAGGCACCGCGGGGATCTGAGCGAGACCTCGCCGTGCCTGGGGGGCTGCGATCTGCGACGCTGTCGCCACTTTCGAGGGCTGCTGGTGGGTCCAGCGGGCTGAGGCACCGCGGGGATCTGAGCGAGACCTCGCCGTGCCTGGGGGGCTGCGATCTGCGAAACTGTCGCCACTTTCGAGGACTGCTGGTGGGTCCAGCGGAGTGAGGCACCGCGCGGATCTGAGCAAGACCTCGCCGTGCCTGGGGGCTGCGATCTGCGAAACTGTCGCCACTTTAGAGAGCAGCTGGTGGGTCCAACGGACTGAGGCACCGCGGGGATCTGAGCGGCGTGCCTTGGGGGCTGCGATCTGTGAAACTGTCGCCACTTTCGAGGGCTGCTGGTGGGTCCAGCGGACTGAGGCACCGCGGGGATCTGAGCGAGACCTCGCCGTGCCTGGGGGGCTGCGATCTGCGAAACTGTCGCCACTTTCGAGGGCTGCTGGTGGGTCCAGCGGACTGAGGCACCGCGGGGATCTGAGCGAGACCTCGCCGTGCCTGGGGGGCTGCGATCTGCGAAACTGTCGCCACTTTCGAGGGCTGCTGGTGGGTCCAGCGGAGTGAGGCACCGCGGGATCTGAGCAAAACCTCGCCGTGCCTGGGGGGCTGCGATCTGCGAAACTGTCGCCACTTCTCGAGAGCAGCTGGTGGGTCCAACGGACTGGGCACCGCGGGGATCGAGCGAGACCTCGCCGTGCCTGGGGGGAAATGCGATCTGCGAAACTGTCGCCACTTTCGAGGACTGCTGGTGGGCCAGCGGACTGAGGCACCGCGGGGATCTGAGCGAGACCTCGCCGTGCCTGGGGGGCTGCGATCTGCGACGCTGTCGCCACTTTCGAGGGCTGCTGGTGGGTCCAGCGGACTGAGGCACCGCGGGGATATGAGCGAGACCTCGCCGTGCCTGGGGGGCTGCGATCTGCGACACTGTCGCCACTTTCGAGAGCAGCTGGTGGGTCCTGCGGAGTGAGGCACCGCGCGGATCTGAGCAAGACCTGGCCGTGCCTGGGGGCTGCGATCTGCGAAACTGTCGCCACTTTCGAAAACAGCTGGTGGGTCCAACGGGCTGAGGCACCGCGGGGATCAAAGCGAGACCTCGCCGTGCCTTGGGGGCTGCGATCTGCGACGCTGTCGCCACTTTCGAGGGCTGATGGTGGGTCCAGCGGACTGAGGCACCGCGGGGATCTGAGCGAAACCTCGCCGTGCCTGGGGGGTGCGATCTGCGACGCTGTCGCCACTTTCGAGAGCAGCTGGTGGGTCCTGCGGAGTGAGGCACCGCGCGGATCTGAGCGAGACCTCGCGGTGCCTGGGGGTCTGCGATCTGCGACGGTTTCGCCACTTTCGAGGGCTGCTGGTGGGTCCAACGGACTGAGACACCGCGGGGATTTGAGCGAGACCTCGCCGTGCCTGGGGGGCTGCGATCTGCGAAACTGTCGCCTCTTTCGAGGGCTGCTGGTGGGTCCAGCGGACTGAAGCACCGCGGGGATCTGAGCGAGACCTCGCCGTGCCTGGGGGGCTGCGATCTGCGAAACTGTCGCCACTTTCGAGGACTGCTGGTGGGTCCTGCGGAGTGAGGCACCGCGGGGATCTGAGCAAGACCTCGCCGTCCCTGGGGGGCTGCGATGAGCGACGCTGTCGCCACTTTCGAGGGCTGCTGGTGGGGCCTGCGGACTGAGGCACCGCGGGGATCTGAGCGAGACCTCGCCGTCCCTGGGGGGCTGCGATCTGCGACACTGTCGCCACTTTCGAAGGCTGCTGGTGGGTCCTGCGGAGTGAGGCACCGCGCAGATCTGAGCAAAACCTCGCCGTGCCTGGGGGGCTGCGATCTGCGAAACTGTCGCCTCTTTCGAGGGCTGCTGGTGGGTCCAGCGGGGTAAGCCTCCGCGGGGATCTGAGCGAGACCTCGCAGTCCCTGGGGGGCTGCGATCTGCGACACTGTCGCCACTTTCGAGGGTTGCTGGCGGGTCCAGCGGAGTGAGGCACCGCGGGGATCTGAGCGAGACCTCGCCGTCCCTGGGGGGCTGCGATTTGCGAAACTGTCGCCATTTTCGAGGGCTGCAGGTGGGTCCCGCGGAGTGAGGCACCGCGCAGATCTGAGCGAGACCTTGCTGTTCTTGGGGGGCTGCGGTCTGCGATATTGTCGCCACTTTCGAAGGTTGCTAGCGGGTCCAGCGGAGTGAGGCACTGCGCAGATCTGAGCCGGACCTCGCCGTCCCTGGGGGGCTGCGAGCCTCGCGAATGCCGTTCGCAGAATTAGATGCGCCCATGTCACGTCATCACCTCTGTATAACATGTACCAAGCTACTTGTGCCCCGCATTGCGCAGGGGTTGGGTACGTCGCCAGTTGTTTTGTTTTGTTTTTGTTTTGTGTGCTTTCGTGTGTATTTCGGATGAGTCGGGATGTGTTCAAGTGCTCCAGTACTGGTTCTAGACATCAGCAGAGATTTATGGAGACACTCGTAGAGAAATGAAGTATAATGATCGAATAAAGAAGGATGAAAAAGGTATGAGGGAGGAGGGGGGAGAGGGAGGAGGCAGGTTAGGTGAGCTCGCACCATATGCGGGAGGGGAAAGGTCGGGGGCGCCAGCGATGAGGAAGGACTCGAATCCAGCAAAATGGCCCGCGCTTGGGCGAGGGCGCAATTTCGACCGATTTGCAAAGCGCCGATCCTGAAACGAGGCCCACGCTTCAGCGGGAACGCCATTTTGGAGGACCGAAGCGTCCGGACCGGAGCAGCACATGAGGCAAACCAGAACGGAACACTCTTGTACGGAAGGGAAGCAATGTGCGCGGAGGGGGCGCGCGCCATTATTCATATCGTTTGCTTGTTTGTTTGTTTGTTTGTTTGTTGTTAAACGTGAGCCCATTAGTCTTACTATTGTTATTGTTATTGCTGCTGCTTTGGCGCTTCTTCTGAGTCTTCTTTGTAATATCATGACATATCTTATGATTCATGCTGATATTCCTGATACTGATACTGTCATTGATCATATTATCATAACTACTACTACTACTACTGCTACTACTACTACTACTACTACTACTACTACTACTAGTACTAGTACTACTACTACTACTACTACTACTACTACTACTACTACTACTACTACTACTACTACCACTACTACTGCTACTACTCCTACTCCTACTCCTACTTCTACTCCTACTATATACTACTACCACCACCACTACTCTACTATACTACTACCACTACTACTATACTAATAAAACAACAACAACTACTATCTACTACTATTACACTACTTCTACTTACTACCACTATACTACTACTACTACTACTACTACTACTACTACTACTACTACTACTACTATAACCACTACTACTACTACTACTACTACTACCACGACTACTACTACGACTACTACTACTACTACTACTACTACTACTACTACTACTACTACAACTACTACTACTACTACTACTACTACTACTACTACTACTACTACTACTACTACTGCTACAACAACAACAACTACTACTACTACTACTACTGCTACTACTGCTACTGCTACTGCTACTGCTACTGCTGCTAGCTGCTACTACTACTCCTGGTCTTACTCCTACTACGACTCCTATCCTTATTCCTTATTAGAATATACTCCTACTCCCCCCTCAGGCCGGCCATTAGGGGCCGCATCCGGGGGGTCCCATCCTAACCTGTAAAAAACAATACAAAATCAACATTTTTCTTATTTTTTCCTCTCGACATGGACGTCCTGTCGTCCA